CTTGAAAATTCACAAGGTGATAATTGATATGGGATGTTTTGACGATTGTAACTTTCCGTCGACCTGAATCAAGAGTTGCCCTACTTTAGAAAATGACCCACATATTAAAAATAACACGTACTTCAGACATCCACTCGAGAAATTCAAATTTGAGGCTGCATTGTACTTTTCCTTCACAAATTCAATCCTTTAAACCGCCAATGGTGTAATAAAAACTGTTGCTGCAAACAGATACATATGGCTTAAAAAGAAGAAAAAAATGACGCATGGACTTTGTCAACCAACAGACAATAACTAAGCCTTCTCGGTCAGCTGTGCTTCAAAATAACGTAACCAAAACAGGTGTTTTTTTCTTAATTTCTGAAGGAGCCACTCCGAGCTTAATTGGCCGTAGCGAGCCCTTTTAAGATCAATTCACTGAACATATACCACTTTCAATTTTAATTTGAGACAGAAAAGAACATCACGATAAGTACATGATGATCAAGCATGTCTCGCCAAAACAAACACATTTCCATTAAGCTTATCATGGCAGAAACCCTCTTCCTCCACCGCATGTCCAACGGCGGTTCACATGCTCCGATCCTGAATATTATATTTTCTGTGACAACACTGAACTTATACAAAAACGAAAAAACTAATGACCTGAGTGGGTTTACAGACTAGCCCACTGGACAAACAATCCCATTTATTTTCATAATTGCCAATGGATCATCAAGTACTCTCTGTTAGCGATCTTGCTTCAGATGAGTTAATGCCAGCAAACTGGCTCGGACAGCGGAAAGCGACAGCCGCAGCTGTGCTGCTTAAATTATATTTTAACAGCGTCAAAGAAAGACAAGCAAACGCGATCATAAGAAGTGATGCGTAAGAATATCTTAAGGAGGCATTGCGCATCTTAAAGACCAAGGAGAAACGCCACTATAACGATCATGATGGGTGCATTAAACATTTTCTTTATAGTGGTTGTTCGTTATAAGTGATTGGGCATAATAACAGAATGGAATATTTCGGGAGCCCAAGGGGACGTTCGTTATACCAAAATGTTCGTTATAGCGGTGTTCGTTATAGTGGCGTTTTACTTGTACTGTGTTCAAGATTTCTAGACAAACAACTTAAAGTTTTCACTTACTCCTCCATTAGATATAGAAAAGTGAGGCCCAATTTTAGAACCGAGGAATATTTTCTACCAAGGATTCGTCTAAATTGAATTCGTTCTTATGAAAAAATTGAAATTAATGACCTTTTCACAATTTGATTCGCTGAAGTTATATTTAACCCCAAGTAGAAACGAAATTCACAGAGACTGCAATAAATTAATATAGAAGAGAAGACTTAATTTCCACTAATACACACCGACTTAATTATATTTAGCCTTGATACAAGCCGCTAAATGTTCAGACCGCACCTCTCCAAAACCAGATGTACGTACGAGCATTTTAGGCCATATATAAAGGTTGCCGATTTCACCCGACAGATGACATTTAAAAATCATGCGCTCTTTTTGTCAAAAAATTCATAAACCAGTTCAGAGAGGAAGCCCACACAATTCTGCGGGGAGCGAAAGCCAACTCTACGCAGCGGCCAACTGGGATTCCAACTTGGGCCGTCAGAAGTGCAAGACAGGGAAACCTACACGTCAGTAATGTGACTGCCCGATCAAGGATTGTGTCAGGTTCCGGAGTGATGAAATTAATCTCGTCAGAACCTCCCTGGTAACAGTGCGCGGCTCGTCTGTCATATGGTATTAAATTATTCATCACTAATGTGAGCTGACAATCGGTAGAGAAAATCGACATGTGGTCAGGGACGGTTGGAAGATAGTCAAAGGTTAACTAAAAACTAGTCAGAAATACTGGGAAGACAACTGACAACCAACCATTTACGAGGGAACAACCAAAGATAACTAAAAACTTATCGGAGACACTAGAAACTAGTTTGAGACATCTGACAAGAAAAGACAACTGAAAGATAATCAGAGAGCCGACAAGTTAAGACAACTGATAACTGGTCAGAGACAACTCACAACATTAGTCTTATAACTTACAACCACAATCACATACAAATGACAACTATATAAACTTATCAACGACAACTAACGACTCGTCAAAGACAGCTGACGACTAGTCAAAGACAACTGACTACCAGTCAGAAAATTGACAACTTGTCAAGACAGATTTCGTTTAAACTGAAAAGTAGTCAAAGGCGACTGACGATCAGTCAAAAGACTACTACAAGGCCAGACGTTTTCAGCAAGTATAGTCAGACAGCATGAATAAGCAAGGATTTGAATAAAAAAACAAAAACATTTTTGACCCTCTTAACTTAATTTAGGAAAATGAGGGGAATATCTTCGCTGCCTCCATAATGGCACTGTCTGCGTTTTAGATTACTAATTTTACCAAAAAAATAGCAGCTAACAAATCCTTTCTCCTACGTGACTCTTTTATTCTTTTTTGTTCAATTTAATTACGAAAGGTTACCAACGTACCTGCCCTGGTTGTTATGAAATTATTTAATTTGGGCAAGCAACCTCAAGTAAGTGAGCGATGCCAGCAGGAAAAAAAGTTTCAAAATGAATGCAGTTGTGCTAGCACTTCACGCTTCGCTTGCTTTCAATTTTGAAACCTGTTGTACCAAAAACGATGCTGTTGTCAAAAATAGCAACGGGCTGTTTTGTCCTCGCCAGTTTCACGACTCGACCCAGAATTTGCGACCAGAGTGCCCACAAATCCCTTTGGAAATGGTCTTGAATGGAGTTATTTTTAGTTTGGGGTTGACAATAGGTCTATGCCCAAGGCTGCAGAGGCGGTTATAAAGCTGCTTCGTCACGGTAGGTGAAGGTAACTCTGGGCGGCCCGCGGCCCGCGGCCCGCGACCCAATGGTATACGTGGGATCCGCGTCCTTGGACCGGTAAACCTTACAGGTGCGCGCAATCATGACCGAGGCGAGTTTTCGATATTTGCTTCAAACAGCCTATTTTTACTTTGTCAAACATAAAACATCTGCCAGTGGCTTAGAGGAAGTTTATAGCTGCCTAAAAATCGAATATCTGTGGAATGGTAGAAACATCTAGCCTAAATAAATAGCGAATTAGCATCCACACAGTAAATAATATTTGAAATATCAGTAGCAGAAACTGTCAGTCTGCTGATGAGAGTTTATAATTCTCATAAATATCACGGATTCAATGATAATTTAATGATTTCAAGATAATTTATCGGGATGGCATTTAATTAGCTGAAACACCTTTGACAGATTTACTATTTCAAAAGTGCAAGGTTGTTTAGAAAAGTCACGATTGTGCACGATTTATAACGGAAATCTCATAATTGATTTCAGTTTCTTAACGAAATTAAATTGGTTTGAGCACATGGTCAATCAGACGTTCTTGTGACGTCACTAACTACGTCACTATATTTATCAAAAAAATGTCCGTCAGCCTTACACTGTTTTCCTCACCAATACGCATTTTTGTTTTTACCTTTTTACTTTGTTATAAAGAGAAAGTTTGCGGGTATCAAGTGGTAGTTTTGATAGCTCCTGTCTACAACTTTGGGAGCTACAATCTAGGTATTACACAAACTGAAATGCAGCCTCACTTGTATCTACTTCACAAATTCAAGTACCGGTACACAGAATCGTCAATAAATAAGTAATTCTCTTTCTTCGCTAAAAATATCAAAAGCAGAAGCGAGCATTTTCAGCAAACTACCAATACGGCAAGCTTCCTTCGAAATGTTCTCATTGATCAACAAACAGTGGAACTTCTAACGTCATATCCTGATTGAAACTAATTCAGTTGTTAATGATTGAAAACAGACATGTTTTCGAAGCTATATAGCACTGCGATAAGTCGTGCCAGTTAATTTGACAATTCACGTCATTTTAGAACGTCAAACAGATCATGATGAATTAAAGGCTTGCGGCCCATACAAAACACGAGTTCGTCACAGAACCTGGGCAATTATTGTCTCCAGACCAGAGCAATACAAAAATGCTCCGAGATAACGAAGACAGTCCGTTTGTCTTCTCGTGTCTTAGAGTTTAAAGCACGTAAATGGTTTTGTTATTAACAGAATGACGAAATGATGAAAATTACTTACGTAAAATGCCGCCCACGGCTTTGGCAACAAGCAAACTTTCTCATTTAATAACGACGTTGGTATATTCAAAGGTTTTTCTACAACCACCAAAACCACACTAAGTTATTTATCTATAATTGTTGCGTGTTGTACGTGTCTGATTATCAATTGTATTTCTGTGAGACGCATCCACGTTTGTCTGAAGGAAACAAAACAAATGCCGATTGATCATCTTGATATTATGTTTGTCAGGGATGGTATTTTGATGACAACGCAAATGAAACCAAACTATAAAAGTTGAAGTATGCTTTCCAATGACCACATTACCATTGAAACTACCAGCTTCCTAGCTTCCCGTACACGCGTGATAAAACCCATTGATATACTGACGATACAAAACCACTCATGTATATTTAATCACAGTCTGTACATTGAAATCATTCAGACCAGTTTTGAAACGGCAATAAAATGAATGGTTTTATCAACACAGCGGCACAAACCGGCATCACAAACACTAAATTGATAATTAGATATCATCATCCATCACAAATTTGCAGCTAATATATTCACATTTCCGTTGACTCGCACTTTTTCACCCGTCCTCAATCAATTATAAATCAGACGGTCGTGAATATATTTGTAATTAGCCAGCCTGGTACAGCGCGCGATATCCGCTGTGCGAAATTTACCTGACATATTGTTGACAAAATGACAAACCTTGACATTTAAAGTCAATGCCATTTTTATTTCATCAAATTCTTATTTTCGTTTTCATCAAGTTTTTCAACCTCATTCAGCAAACTCTCCCAACATAACGTAAAATGTTGTTGGTTTTTAATTTTAATAAACAGCAATGAAAGTTGGCGCTATGCAAACACACGTTTTTCACACACCAATGATCAAGCAAAACTCACCATTCGTGTATACATCTTGTCCTAAATATCCACCGCCGAACTTGACAGAAATCCTATATTCCTGAATCCGTATTAAATCCTGGAGTCCACAAGGCCAGTTTTCCGACCACAATCTTCGAGTTAGGTTGGTACCACTACGAGCCAACTAGCACGAGTGATCTCAAAAGCTCGCGTGGGCTTTGACGAATCCACCAAAAACCAAACATAACAGAACAGCAATGGCGCCCGAAATACCAGCAAAGACTGGCAGCTTTTGTACTTTGTTCTGGAATCCACAGAAGAAACAAATATCAGTGAGGTCAGAGTATCGTGCTAGCCAACGGAGCGTGCCAATGCAATCATCAAAAGACCATTTGAACGGGACAATTTAATCGAGAGTTTGGGGAGTGACAATCGCTGTTCAACGCTGAACGGCTGTCGCTGGGATAAAGAGGAATCAGTGTCAAGATGACTGAGTTTGTAACTTTGTTGTAACTCAGCCTTGACGCTGGATTTGGAAATAGTTCAAAACCATTTTTCAGCCTTGGCATATAATGTTATACATCAGTCGTGCTGGTGTTATAAACTAGTCAAGCTATTTTGGAACAGTATAGACTTCATACCAAAATACTATTATGGGATATCTCTATCCTTTATTGACATTCCATAAACGGCGCATTTTTTTTCTCTGTTTACATCTGTGTAATATTAGGGCAAAAAATTACCATAGCGCGCTAATCTTACCTGCACTTTGCCCATAGAGGTTTACATACATCTTGATTCCCTAAGGTCACTGCGCATGCGTAAATGTTGACACTGTGGCGACTGATGTTTCAATTCAGATACCTTGCATGAAATCCCCATTGCTTTCATGTGCACCGAAATCTACATTATTATTTGGGGGGGGGGGGGGGCTATGACACAAAAAACTTTAAAATCATGATAACTCAAAGATATTCGTTTAATTAAACAGTACTGTGCTTAATTTTCTTGCAAACCCACCCTCTAAACGTATCTAGAAAAATTAAAATCTATTACATCCTCATCCAACGCTACCTAACTTGTACAGTGCACCGCACATGTGCACAAAAATGCGGTGTTGCTTTTTTGGAATGCCTTTGTTCGCTTACTGGGGAGGGTAGCGGTATAGCTGGAACAAAGGCTCATTTGCATACGGACTTAAGCAGTAATTGACAGAAAAGTTAGCCAATACGTATACCTGTTATTTGGTGTACATGACCGACATACGTTAACCCTAAAAGGGCCGGATTATTTTGACTATCTCTCAGCGGGGTGGGGTCCGCCCCCCCCCTTAGATCTCGGCCATCGAGTGACGGAAAAATTTGAAACTCGGTACATGCATAGAACAACTCATCATGAACATACCTAAGAAATTTAGTGACTATAGGTGAAAGGGTTTTTGGAATTATGGCTCATTAATTATTCATATGTACGAATGGTAATTCTGCTCTGTGTACACGACGTAAGCCAGATGTTGAGATTGTTTTCATATTCGAGATGCAACTTAAGTTACATCGTAATGCTTCTCGTGCATGCGTTATGAGAGCCGGATAGGGCACAGCCGACACCCTTACTTTTTACGACCAAATCAGAACGGAAAGATGCAATCATTGATTCGTATATTAAACAGACAACGCTTCTCGTATTTATCGTCATAGCGGGTTTTTTTCCGCATCAATCGATGAGTAATGCTAGGGCGAGCGTCCTGAAAAAAACCTGAGTAGTTTTTGGTGACTAACAACCGAAATAACGGAAACACAAAACGGTGCAAGCGAATGCCCGAGTATATATAAATACAATTTTCCAGGAAAAATCCTTGGCGACGATAGTCATTCATACCATGATTCAGAAATATATTTTAAAAAACCTTCTTCCAAAATCTTTTTCCAATCTTCTTGGTTCCGTTCAGTTGGCTTCAAGTATGCAAGAATAATCGATCGACATTTCCTGCACACAATCAAACAAAAGTATATTTCCGTCAAAAATGAAAAGGGAATAGAGAATATTGCCAAAATCATTTTTTTTTGGGGGGGGGGGTCTTAAAAGACTTCCGGACGATATAATGTTGTAAACATATGAAGGAAACTAAATACCGTGACAAACAGGAAGTAGATATTTAGTCATTGTTAAATTTACATAATACGGCCGGGGAAGTGGCCAAACAATAGCAGAAATCTCAGAAAGCGCTGAACTTAAAATTCTTTTTACATTACGTCACGGAGGAAAAATACATAGGAAGCAACAAAAGTATTCAATCATGACTATGAGATTTCCGCTATTCCCACGGCGATGATTCAATATCTAGGTGCGGTTTTTTTTTTTTTTTTTAAAGATGCCATCATTAATTATCCCATAGGTGAAACAGGTGCTCGAACTCCGACCTTACCTGGTCAAAAATAGACCCTCTTATCTACCTGGTGTTTGAACACGGACTACTCCTTTGATTTCTGCCTTGGGTGTAGGGTTTGCATTTCAATAAATAGTGCAAACGGTTCAATGTTTGAATTTATAAAGCCGAGGTATAAAAATATGTGACGAATAAACTTTGGACCCGTATAAAAATAGCTGCCTCCTTCACAAGCAGGTACCGTGTCCCAATGAGGCCACACAAAAATACTGCTTGTCTTCTACTGCGCAAACTGCTTCGATGGCTATCGACGTATAGTCCATGTGCTTGACTTCAATAGACCATTTGCAGCAGCCATCTTGGTGGTGTTCCTTTTGTTTCAGTAACAGTGAATGAACAATTTGGTCAGACGACATGGTGGCTACAAAATGGTTACAATGCAAAGCAGCTATAGAAACAACTGGATTTATAGAAACGGTGTCCCAACGATGCCACTTGACCGACAGAGAAATAATTTATTCCACTCCGGAACTGGAACGGGAAACAGAGTACGCAAAGTCATTTGGAGAGGTTTGGCAAGTTACTAGCTGGAAGCCAATTAATAAGGACCCAAAGCTTCGATTTACATGATTGGATAGTGCACCCCCGCAACCAACACCGCGTCGGACATGAAAAATGAGCAAGCCATTTTGGAGAGATAAATACACCTATTACCAAAATGATATCTCCTGCTGGCAAAATATAATGAGACGGTGAGGTAATTACAAAAAGGGATAAAAAACAATCCCGCTGATGTAGGGGCAAAAAAAATCTCATATGAAAACATGCAGTGATGATAATGACATCCGGTAATTTATGAAATCACTCCATGCGTAAAAAAAAAAGGGCAATTTGTACTTGAAAATATATGGAGTTCGCCTCAAGGTTTTTTTTTTAAAATATATCTAAGCGATAGTTTCGATCATTATATAGATTGCTTTTTCGTTGGTCACTTAATATATGCGTAGAAAAAGCCTTAGTTTGCTGATGTGATGCCTAAGCGTGTATTGTGGTGTACCTCAGATAGCGCGTCGTACAAACCTTAGAGCAAAGGTAAAATTGTCAGATAAAACACAGTAACATCCATGACGATTTTCCTCGATTCGGTGTGTCTGCGCAACTTCAGAATGACTATATCTTACATATGCTTTGAATACCAAATTGATAAGAGGCCACAGGACACGTTAAGGGTATTCTTGGGGCATTTTGTTAAGGTCTATTGATAACTTGGCGATTAACATAAGGCTTAATAAAACGGCTTAGGTAGCGGAACGTAATAATGTCTGTCCCACGCCTTGAAATCCCAAGTGAGTATCACTTCACACGCAGTCATGTCTCGCCTACTTGTCACACCCGCGGCTAAAAAAAATTAAAAAAACTTCCCCCAGCGCGGTTCTCAACATTGCAATTCTCCAGTTACGCTCTGATGGACAGGTAGGCTTATTTCCCATCCAGTGAAATGAGATCGCCTTAGTTCCCATCGGGCTTCGGGGGGTTGAGCTTGCCCGGTCGAACATCATGTGTTGCGCCACGGCACTTGGTACCTTTGTTGCCGGAATGAATATATTGATATCGCGCGGAATTAGGTTTTTGTGTGTGTAATCAATTTATGTTCGCGCGTGGTTTCTAATCAACGGGCATTGTCGTGTTCCCCGAAGGGATCTAGCAATCATTGTTAGGTACAGTCAAAAGTCCAAGGCACCAGACTTATTTGGCTCATTCTATGAATAAAATAATAGTCAAAGAACTGTACGCATTACGAGCCTCCAGTTCAAAAGACCCAATCAAAAGTCATTATGTTTTTAAAAGACGGGTGCATTACTACCTTGCAATAGTTTGTTTTGTATCGTTTGATAAATGCTCCCTTTCAGCTGATATTTAATGAACAGGCATCGGTGAAAATCTAACAAGAATTTTGTAAATTATTAATGTACAAGATTTTATTAATTGTTTTAATGTCAATGTTAAAAGGGAAAAAAATAAGTTCAGGTTTTTTTTTATTCTGACCGAATCTAGAGAATAGTTAAATGCGTCTTAGCAGAGCTGATGTAATTTTGAGCGCTTCATTCATTGCGTGTGTTTTCAATTTCCTTTATTGTTAAGGAATTTGAATGACATTTCATTACAGAAAAACGACATATTGTGGTCGCCATTCTATAGTTTAATAGCCAACTCATTACAACATAAGTTTGTCGTGCCAGCGCTTGTCACGCCCGTAACCTCTGTTACAATTGCATCTGGACGAGCTAAACCACGTTTCTCATCACATCCAATATACGAAGAGGAAAAACCAGGGTGTGTAATCATGACAGGCGAGCGACCGGGTCTTTCTACCACGATAGACACGCTTAATCAACCGAAATCAAACCAACCAAGGAAAAAGACCGGAGTGGCCGCTTGTAATTGATGTGTCCATTGGATAATCACGCCTGCGTCCGGACGCACGGTGCATCCTAAATTGCTTCTGGGAGGAATTTGTATAATCTAACGGTCACGGTTTCACTTTTGCCTTTTAGACGACCAACTCAAGCCGCTGTTACTAAACACAACTGGTATTCGCTTACAGAAGCGCGCATCGCAGGTCGTGTTTTTAATGACAACCTAAGAGAAGAGACAGCACAAGCCTCTTGTTGGTATACATACATCTATTACCGCTGCACCTGATTGATGTAAAAATTCTCAGGGAGATTATTTTGTTTGTCCTCGCTCTGCCGTGTTTGCGAACCTAGTAGGATGGACAAAATTAAGGACTCGCGGCAGTTCATTCCAAGGTACCGTTTTTTTGTTTGCCGTGGATTTCAAAAGATCTCCGATTTGATTTGCAGTGCAAGCCAATTCGAGTACGTGTAAACAATGCATTAGCGCAATA